GATGTATTTAGCCTCACTCATGCTCTGTTTTTGTCCTTGTTTCTGAAGTTCCTTGCGCTTTGATCAAGCCCTTGTCGGCTCCCTGTGTCAGGTTGGAGGGTGTCTTGATGGCCTGGAAGCCATGGGAACAAGAGCCCTGATTTTACACTCTTCACGTTTCATGTTTTGAAAATCAAATGTGCTAGTCATAAAATTATGGATTTTTCTCATAAAACTACCCTCTGGAAAGAGGCAAAGGGTTATTATCTCTTCCCGAACAGCTGCTTTTTCTTCTTGTAGACCCCTGTAGGTATAAGCCAAAGTTTCCTTCTTATGAAAATGCTTGTATACGAAAGAGATGAGTGTGAAAATGCCTTTTGATAGACCCTCTAACTACTCCCGCTATGGGGATTATTTAAACATGAAGGAATTTCATGATGATTTGAAACTGACTACCCCCTCCATCTCCAAGTGCTTCGAGATCACCTCCCCAGCTGTTTAAAAAGTTGTTGAGCCATTAACTGCTGCTGAGGCTGCTCTGAGCTCCCTTTGAAATGGGGGTCCCCCAGCGGTAGTACATAATATTAATGAGCAGTAAGTGACTGCCTGCTGCTTCCTCCACCAGGCCCTTCTGGGCGCTGACAAGTCCTACTGCTGCCTCCGCATGGCCTCCTGGCCCACCAAGCCTCCAGAGTGATGGATGCCCCTGTCAGCACCTCTGTTTCCATAGCTGATTGGATGCCTTTAAATCAGCCTCTTCCAAGAACGCAGAGGTTCAAGAAACTCTGCCTTTCTCACTGCTCCCTGTTCACGTGGCCCCAGTTCCCCCAATGCTCTTTAACAAGAAGCAGTTCTCGCCGTTCCGCCCATTCTGCAGATGAGCAACAGGGACGGAATCCAAATCCCGTGGAAGAGGGGAGAATGAGCTCCTGAATCAGATGCCTCTTAAACCCAGTGCTGGACAGGAAACAAGCTAGAGTCCATACTCCCTTCCCCAACTGAGCACAGTTACACAGTTCTGGTGCAAGCAAGCAAGTGTAGCAGGGGTTCAGTCCTCCTCTTAGACTGTTAATTTCCCACCCATCCCTCCGCTAAAGGGGCAGAAAAAAGCATTAAGAATTATAGTACTGCCCTGACCAGTTTCGCTCAGTGGTAGAGCGTCGGCCCGTGGACCAATGAGTCATGGGTTGGACGCTGGTCAAGGGCACGTACCTCAGTTGCGGTTCATCTCTGGCCCTGGTCGGGGTCATGCAGGAGGCAGCCTGTTGATGTCGATGTTTTCCTCTCTCTCCCTTTCTCTCCTTCTCACTGTATCTGAAGATAAATAGAAAAATATCTCAGGTGAGGATTAAAAAAAAAAAAGAATTATAGTACCTACTATTTCATTTTATGGATCACAGTTTATTAAATGAGCAACTAATTTTAATTGGTACAAGAAAATAAAAGTCAGTATGTTGCTTTTTATTTAAATAAAAATAAATGGCTGGTTTTGTTTTTGTTTTAAATATATTTTATTGATTTTTTTAGAGAGAGAAACATCGATTGCCTGCCTCCCACATGCCTTTCACTAGGGATAGAACCCACAACCCAGGCCTGTGCCCCGTCCAGGAACCAAACTGGGACCTCTCAGTCCATGGGAAAACGCTCAATCCACTGAGCCACACTGGCTGGGCTGCTTTTGTTTTTGTGGCTGTTGTTTTTATTATTGATTTTAGAGAGAGGAAAGGAGAGAGAGAAGCATTGATTCGTTGCTCTACATATTTGTGCACTCATTGGTTGATTCTTATATGTGCCCTGACCAGGAATCGCACCCACAACCTTGACATATTGGGATAATGCTCTAACCAACTGAGCTCCCCAGCCAGGGCCAAAATGGCTCATTTTGTACTCACATGAGTCAGGGTGGAGACTCAATTTTTGGTGCTTGCCCTACATCTCATTTGGTTAAACAAGCATGGCCTCGATGCACTTCTCTCCCTGAAGGAAGCATTCTGTGGGAATGGAAGCAGGACCTACCCCGTTTATTGCCACTGTGTGCCAGGCACCGCTGCACACAGCTTGTGTTGCCTCATTTAGTTGTCACATTGTCACAGTGCTCTGAGATAGGACTGCCGTCACTGCGGTCCGACAGGTGAGAACGCGAGAGGTTCAGTGACTTGCCCAAGATCACAGAGCTGGAGATAGCAGATCCAGGATTCAGTCAGCCTTCAAACCCATGTGTTTGTCATCACTAGGCTACTCCTCTCCGTGCAGTAGATGTGTGTCATAGGGGACTCGGGAATTTCATTGCCTGTCACTCACCAAACTCAGAGAACTAAGCGCATGGACTCTCCCCTCTCCAGGTGTAACTTCCTTGTCTGTCTTCTGAAAAGGAGCCAAGTTTATACTCAGCTCCTGTTTCAAACATGATAAACAATTTACTTTTCAGTTTTGAAAAACAGTTGTAAATGTGTAAAAGTTGAACCTCTGAAGCAGTGTTTCTCCATCTCTATGTCATGGTCCCACTGCATCCCCACGGAATGTTCATTTCAAACAGGGAGTCTCAGCTCCACCAAGACCTCTGGAAACAGAATCCCTAGGGGCAGACTCCAGGAATCTGCATTTGTGGGAAGCACCCCAGTGATTCTTATGCACACTAAAGATCAACAAGCATTCTAGAGTTGCTTCTGGAAGTTTCTGGAGCTCTGTACACCATCAATTCAACTGCGGATGATTATAGAAAGCTTTCAAAGGCTTTCTGCGTCCAATAGCTATTTCGGGGAGAATTGTAATGTGTAGGGGGTGTTCTGAAACTGTTATAGTCTCCTTCTGTGTGAACCAGCTGGTGAAGAGAGCTTGAATGATTTCCCAAGGAACTGTAGTGAAGTGCACATTCTTTACCTATGAAAACCTGGAAAAGATGCAGTGTTCCAACCTGGACCCCAAGTGAGTCTTTCAGAGTGGGATTCTGATCATCTTTCTTGTTTTTGCTGAAACCCTTACAAAGATGTTAATGTAACCGAGACTTTGTGTGATCTGGCCATGCCTACTTCTCCAGCTTTATCCTTGAACTTGCTCACCCGCCGCCCCTGTGATGCCGAATGTCCTTCCTGTTCCTGCCATCCTGGAAGTACCACAGCATCTTTGCATATGACCCTGAGGCATATTGTGTAAGCCCTGCCCCGGCATCTAGTTAGATTCACTCTTCCTTCAGAGCCCAGCATCAACGGCACTCTCTGGAGGGAGCCTTTCTGGCCTGCCAGAGGGAGTCAGGATGTCCTAATAGTCACCTCCTCAGTCTTCATTCTTCCACAGCACGCACCACAGGTTTTCAGTCTGCTTTTGACTGTGCTAACTTGAGTCATATCTGGCTTTCCAAGCAAATTATTAGCAAGAACCAGTCTGTTTTGTATCTTGTGCTGTTTAGCAGAGTTTAAGTAACTCATCGTGTTAGACAGAAAATCTGCATTTTCAGTCTAAAATGTAACATTCATTCAAAGACAAAGGTTCCACATGTTTTATTTCGATCCGTATCGGTAAGTAGCAGCGAAAATGGAAAGTCTGAACGCCAGACTTCTTGATGTGTGCGAGATCCCTTTAATGAATATGTCAACAGCGCTAATCATAATGCTATTTTTAAATTGCTCATAGTATGGTAATATCATCATCAGTTGTTAAAAGGAAAGTTAATGAAAGAGTGGAAATTTCTGATTTTGGAAAGCCACAGAGTAATTATCTATTTCCTCTTTTACTTCAAAGACTGAAATGGTTTCTTCTGATTAAGTAGGGTAGGGAGCACAGTGAGCCTAACTGGTGATTAGATGGGTTTTATGAAATGTTATTCTATCTTCCCTTTCAAGGGTATCTTTGGTGAGCTATATGAACTATCAAGCTTATCTTTTGTAAAACTATTCTCTATATGAGAACAGATCTCATTCCCACAGTAATTGGATCACCATGACATTTGGTTTTCAGCTAATTTTGACACGAACTGATGGATTCTAAGTGTCCCAAAATTCTAAGTATGTTAAAAGCTAGAATTGCTCGCCTTCTAAGACTTCTATAGCATTTGGCAAACTGTGGACATTTTGAATTATTACAAAACACTGTCTTCTGGTTATTTGAACTCAAAATTACATCATATATTTTATATATATATATATATATATATATATATATATATATATATATATATTTCAAAACCCAGCAATTATAAGTGGATATTCTCACACAGGTTTTTAAAACATCTCCCTAAAGGAGAGACATGTCAGTGACCTCCCAAATTGTCCCTAGATTAGATATAGGTTTCATTTTATGCATTACAGCAGAAAAGGATTTGAGAGACATAGGCAGGCTAGTGAGCCTGAGAGCAAAGCAGCCCAGATAATTATGAATTACAACTCGTAGAGTTTAGGCTACACCTTCCTAACATCGTCACCTTCCAAAACTGAAACTCTAACAGTCCCATCATAAAAATCTGTGGGAAATAATAGAAAATAATAATATTAGCTAACAACCGTGTTTCATGCCCACAGCGTTCTTGACGCTTTTATATGAATCACCTCATTCGGTCCACACAGCAACCCAATGAAGTAGGTACCGTGACTAAGCCCATTTCACAGATGAGAAAACTGAAACATCGCGTGTGTCACAGCCATTTCGCTATTTCGGAACTAGGATCCCAACTCAGTCAGCCTGCCTGCGGAGCACCCACTCCTAAGGCTTAAACTGGACTACCTCCCATACGTACTTTATTTAAGAACAATGAATCCAGAAGCTCAGTCCAGCTTTCTTTCTCATTCCTTTCCCATTATGGGACGAGGGGGCGGGTGAGCGTTTTGTTTTGTTTTGTTTTGTTTTGTTTTGTTTTGTTTTGTTTTGTTTTGTTCTAAAGGAAAAGCTGGACGTGAGCCTTCTTCCTTTTTGAACACCTTTTTCCAAAGCCATTTCCCTTTATCTGGGGCTAAGAAGGGCACTGATTCCAAAGACAGAGCTCTAACAAACTTCCCCCTTTGTCTCCACCCTGTCCCTTCATTCTGCAGTTAATAGCCAAGATACCAACCATCACGGCCGTGTGCAACTTGCATGGAGAGAAGCTGCAGGTATTTAAGCAATCGCATCCAGACATAGTGAATACACTCTTTCCTCCGTTATACAAGGAGCTCTTTAATCCTGACTGTGCCACCGTCTGCAAATGAAGGCAACGCCAGAACTGTCTCATAGTCCTGGAATGCATCACCATTAAGACAAAAGCAATGTGTTCATGAAGACTTAAGAAAAAAATGTCACTACTGCAACATTAGGAATGTCCTGCACTTAATAGAATTATTTTTCACCGCAACAGTTTGAAGAATGTAAATATGCACCTGAGTGGGGCTCTTTTATTTGTTTGTTTGTTTTTGTTTTTGAAATGACCATAAATATACAAATATAGGACACTGGGTGTTATCTTTTTTTAATTTTATTCGGGTATGTTTTGGGAGACAACTGTTTATAGAATTTTATTGTAGATATATACGAGAACAGAGCGGTACTTTACATGATTACTTTTCCTGTTGATTGTTCAAATATAATTTAAGAAAATTCCACTTAATAGGCTTACCTATTTCTATGTTTTTAGATAGCTGATGCATGTGTAAATTTGTAGCTGTCTTGGAAAGCACAGTGCATGTATGTAATACGTATATAATATCTGAGAATATTATATATGACAATTACTTATACACGCACATGCACTGTGGCTTAAAATATCATACCTACTAGCAAAGGAGGTTTGGTCAGGCTCTCTTATATTATTTACCTTCTGTGTTCTATGTTACCTTTATGTTAGACAATCAGGATTTTGTTTTCCCAACCAGAGTTTTCATCAATAGTCGGTGGCAAGATGGTACCAATTCAGACATTAGTCTACGAAGGAAGAATTAAAATGCACAGCCTGTGTAAAAACTCTGTTTCTATCGATGGCATCAAAGCCTTGTCAAGACGGTACATATTGGGGGAAAAAAATATAAGTATTTGGAGCCATTTTCCTGTTTTAAGAATGAGGCCACAGGTAATCTTGTGGAGTCCAGGGCTTCTGTGTCCAAACAAGAGATTTTTCACCAGGACACACAAAACCCTGTTTTTCTTTGGATTTCAGGTTGTGAAAGAAACTTGATTTTGGTGCTTACTGTGTCTTCAACAGAGAAATACAGTCTATAGATTATAGCCACCAGCAATTTTTTTCTAATAAAATGAGAGTAAAAGAGTACATCAGAAGCCAGAGACCCAATACCATTTCATGCAAACATTTTCCTTCTAACCGTTTATTTTATTTTGCAAAGAAGAAGTAGAAAGAAAATATACAAAGAAGTAGTTCCTTAGACCCATTCTCTTTAATAAGCTCATTAGAAAAGCAGCAATAAAGGGGGAGGCAGGACTTCCTCTGTCCTTTAACCTGGAGCCTCTCATTTTTTTTTCCAAAATACTATATCATAACAAGATAGCAAAAGGTTGACGGATCGAAAAAAGGATCTGAGTTATTCCATAAAACAAATACACCCCAAAGCCAAAACTACTCTCTATGCAGTTTGAAATGACATTCTCCATCTAGCCTAGGATTATTTTCTCAGCAACTTTAAAAAGTACAGAATGCAAACGGCGATATGAGGATTAGAGAATTTAGACTTCCTAGGACAAATTCTCACGTCTGCCCTTCAATCAAACGGATCCCCAGAAAAAAAGCATCCATTTTAAGGAGTCTGTTCTGTGTGTGAAGGCCTTCTGCCTTTGGGCTTCTTGGATCTAAAATAAGGTTTTTTAAAAAGGCAGGTAGAGGAGAGCTTTGTGTTTGAAACAATGAAGACCATGATCTGTAAGTGTAGCCCAGGCCTCAGCTAATGAAGACCTGCCCCTCTTTCCTTGTCAAACACACACACACGCACGCACACACGCACACGCAGGCACACCTACTTTGTCAAGTTTCCATCAGTGGAAACTTGGCGTTCCCAGTCCTCTCTCATGCTCTCCTGAGGTTACAGGGTTGAGCGCCCCCTCCAGGATGCCACAGAACTCCTCGCTGAGGATCAAACAGTAGTGCTCCTCTTTTCCTTTAGAAAACAGAGCCTTTTCCCACCGCATGATTGATGAATTCCAAACCAATGGGGGGAAACAAAAAGGCTTTAAAATAATGAATCTCTTTCTCAACTATTGTTATATTCAATTAATTTAACTACATTGAACGAAATTAACTTCAGTGTCTAAGAAGACAGCTGTAGACCGCTTATTATGCTGCTACAGGGACTCAATTCTTTTTGGTGTAAATGTCACTCCTGCTAGCTCTTTGTATAAAGAATTAATTCCAAGAGTCATATTTCCTTCTAATGGAAAGATTACTTTACTGATTGCTAGGAAAACAGGGTAATGGAAGGCACTCAATTAAACCGAGCCGTTTCCAAATGCAATGTATGTTTTATGATTGGCTTGTGATAGGCGACGTTTAATGTGTCTACTTGGTGTTTCCCTTTGAGCTTTGAACTTATGTCAAAGTTTGTTTTCATCGTTCTGTTGGCCTAGTGTTTCCCATTGTCAGCCTGTAATTCCTGCTCCGTTTTGCAAAGGGGATTGTTTGTTTCCTCCCATTTACCTTAGAGGATTTAAATGGGCTCAGTTGATGAAGTGGCTGAGAATTTTTCCCTCCCGTGTCCCTTGGGTGATGTAGGAAAAAGATTGCTCCCCACATTTGCCTCAGGAGGTACTGGATTTGAATTTGTGTCATTTTCACAGTGCAGGCATTTAATGGGGATGGCATGAACCTTGGGCAGCTGGGGCACAGGAGCCGGCTGGAGACTGCACCCGAACAGAGCGGTGGAAACCAGCACCCGCTCAGCCCACTTCAGCTGAGAAACGAGATTTCCGTTTTTCGCCACAGTTGCCAAATCTGTCCCTTAAAAGAGAACCAAGTCCTATCTTCCATGGTAACAAAGCACGTTTAAAAGCTGCCCTTTAGACATCTGCTGTGACTCCATCGCGAGGTATTTTAAAATTTTGGCAAGCACAACTCCCTTTGCCACACGCGTTCTTTGTCCCTTCCCCACGACCACTCACAAACGTTCACAACACGTTCACGACCAAGCGTGCACTGGACAAAGTGACCCACGAGCTCTGCTGTCTGCTCCACGCTTCGTAAATGACAATCACTGCTGATGCAGAAGTTGCACTGTATCCACTCAGGGATGTTTTATTTAAAAAAAGAAAAAAGAAAAAAAAAAAAGGTACATCCAGAAGGAGGGAAAGGGGGAAAAAAAAAAAAAAACAGGAAAATGACAACAAAATGTAAATGGCATCAATTAAATATGCCAGTGAGAGAACCTCTCTGACAAGGCTTTCAGACCAGCGAGCAGAAACGTCATGTTGTAAACTGAACTTACTTGTATGATTTGGACTTGCTGACAAGTTGCTCATGAGTCAGGACAACTTAGTCTCATTTTCTAAAATCTGCCAAGAGCCAGATAATCCTGCTGCTCCATTTACAGGAATATGTGTCTCCCCGTGAACCCAAGCTTCCTATACAAGTCCCGAGCGAAGAAAACGCAGAAAGCCCGGCGGCATTAGATGAACCTCACGAGGGAGGGGGAGCGGTAACTTGTGGTCTGTGAAAGGAAAAGGCAAATTTGGGAGGGGATATAAGAGAAAGGGGCCCAAATCCACCTAACACCCCACATGAACCCCTACTGGACGTGACTCAGGTCATCCTTGTGTCCTCTTTTCTACAGTTCTCTTACCCCCAGTGAAAGCTGAAGGTGGAGCTGTATTCTACAAACACAGCCTTCCTGGATTTCCCTTGTTTTAATCCTGTCTTCAGGGCTCTGGACTAGAGGACCACTGGTTTGGTAAAAACAGAGATCACAGTGATCTCGTGGGTAATTAGACTTTTTTGACAGAATCTAAGAGACCCCAGGTTATAATGAACTCTGAATATTAACAAGAGGTGCCAGGAGGCATCAGTACCCTTCCTATCCTAGCTGCCTTGTTCAACACACAACTTCACAGCTGTCAAGCTGAACCGCTTATAGAAAATCATACACGGACAGCCAACTCACGCTCACTCCCTACAGTCCCAGCTGTACCAGGCTTGAATGCACAAACAAATCTTGTGTCACAAGGACAACCTAAAATTTAACCATCTTTTTCTCCAAAACTGGCAGATGCAAATGATGTGAGTTTTGTTCCACGTCCTTGGTTTTCTTTTATCATAGACGTAAGAAAAAGTCTGCTTCTACTGGAAATGATAACAAATAGTGTTTCCTGGCTTTTGTTTTCCTGTAAACTTTTGTTTCCAAGGAAGTTTGTATGATTGACAGTGAACTCAGGCAAGGATGTCTGTGCCCTGACAGAACCACCACTCGATAGAACAGCAATAACTTTGAACTGCATCTGTCGTGAAACTTTGCACAAAGTCCCCCGTAGAAAGAAGAGAAAAAAGCCCACCTTCTGCTTTAGGTGATGTGGTATTTGATTTTCTGTTTCTAACTGTTAGTACAAGCAGCAACCTGATATAGGAGAGCCGTGTGGGTCTGTAATAAAGAGCTGACCACCATTTGGAGTGGGGAGGATCTCAGGACCAGGGATACGTGTGTATTGAAACTAAAGCACGGGTTAACCTTCAAAAGCCTCAAAAGGCCAGGGAGTTGATGCCGATGAATGAAGCAGTCTTTTGGTGAGCTGGTAAGGAAATGCTCCATCCGGAAAGGGCCAACCAATAGTCTGCTGGAATCAAGTGTAGCTAAAGCTTCTGAACCTTATAGAATGTCTTGAGCTGTAAATGATGTCAGTTGATTCAGAGTGCAGAGCGGTTCAAGCAAACATATCTCTGAGCAGAAGAGGGCTCCCCATTTGCAATCTCTGGTTTTAAAGCACAGTTGAATTTAGAGGCCTGTTTGGCTGGAGAAGACTGGCCAGACACAGCTCTGAATGACATTAGGGTGGGAATGGGGGTGGAGATTTACATGCTAATCCTCAATTTGGTTTCCGTATTTTACTGCCACTACTAGAGGAAATAGTAAGAGGTCAGACGAAAAAATAGCCATCTAAAAATGAAAACCATTTAGTGATGGGCTTATCAAAGACACTTCTCTTTGTCTTGCCCCAATCCCCAGCTTCACAGAGCCAAGTTGGCTAGACTTCTTGCCTCTTTTTTTCCAAAAGTCAAATGCCCAATTTTTATGCCTTTGGGATCTGCAACCAGTTTTTATTTTCCTTTGGTTGTATCTAAAGAACTTATTCTAGAGTCACAATAACTAGTCCTCTGTTGTACTGAAGTGCGGACCCCGGGTTCCTATGCAGCAGACGGGGGCCGCCTGTTCGTGCACTTTTTTCCTACGCTGCTGCAATGCCTCCGAAGTGAATTGGCCATAGTGAGTACGCCCCCTGGTGACTGTGAGCGGGGCCGCCAGTGGGTCAGAGAAAGCAGCTCCATGATTGTCCTCATGGCCAGAAATAAAGCACAAGGTTATGGGAATTGAATACACCCAGTTGAGGGAAGTGCAGGGTATCTGTACCCATGCTGGGCAGCATGATCCTTGTATCAAACTATACCCTTCTGGCGGTGGCTGGTGCAGAGCATGCACGTGCCTCCATCACGTGCAGACACACGCGAGGTCTGTCTGAAAAGCTACAGAGCCCACATCCAAGAACAGTACCGTCCACTTCATCTGATTAACACACACGAGAATGGAAACGACACCCACAGAAAACTGAGTATGTATTGTAGAAATGTAGAGGAAAAATAAAAATATTTTTTCAAATGTAATTACTTTTAATATATGCTTGTGGAAGGTCTAATACAATGTATGCTGTCTCTGTAATTTTTGCTGTAAATAACTGGAGACAGTGAATACACTGATTTTTCTATGTCTCTGTTTAAGCATAAGACTTTGTAACAATTTTTTTAGAGGGGGAAAAACCAACAAAGAGCAAATATGTACTTGCTTCCTTTCTGCGTGTTATGTACTTCTCAGAAATCGGTTGTCACAGTTTAAGCATCTTGACGGGTCATTGGTGTTAACTGTACACTTCTTTGTGTAATACAGCTGAGAAAGGGACAGGGTTGTCAATTAAATATGCTTCAAAGAATTTGCATTGAAGATTGGCCCAAAACTTGTAAACTCTACCGGACTTAAACGATATGAAAAAAGAAAGAAAGAAAGAAATGTTGCCTGAGTAAAGTCATCTTTCCTTGTAGCAATGGCTTTGTCTAAAAATCTCTGCATGAAGTAGCTTAAGGAAAACAAACTGCTTTCTGATGAACAAAATATTTTTGTACACGTTTATTTCTTATGACTAACCTGAGGTCAGACTACTCATTCGCTGAAGCCATAACTGACCTTCACCAAATAAATGCTATAAAGAACCTGGGGGAGGGTCGAGGAGAGATGGAGAGGGAGGAAAATCGAAGGTGTCATGAGCTGTAACAACACAGGCAGGAGCAAGTCTGATGGACCTGATGCTTTTCCTGCATCCCAAATATGACTTTAAAAGGCTAGTATTTTATGATGATCAATTTATAATAATAATTTAAAAAAAGATATTTAGATTTAAATGAGACTTTCCAGTATTTTTGAATTCCCTGACAATGCTTCCTTGCTTTTAGGATTGAGAGAAATGATTTTCATATACTTCCAACTTTCAGAGATTTAATGTTTGTACCTTAGCTCCAGCCTACAGGTATAAAGGGAAGAGCTCCGCTAAGTCCTCCAGCGGTTGAAACCCCGGCTGCCTGGGGCTTGGCTGTACCTGCGGACCAGGACTGCACCCTGAGGGGCCCTGTGCAGCCGCAGGGGCCTCTCGATCAGCATGCACAACACATCGTGCTGGCCGTGCACGGAGGCTGCATTGCTGACCGCGTGTAACATGAAAATATTCCCTCTAAAAAGGATAATAATTCTACTTTTTTAAAACGAATAATGCCTTCTAGAGTCACCATTGATTTTTCTGGAGCTTAATTACATTATTACTACGTATTATGATTGCCCTATAGAGGCAAAGGTAAACTACAAATAAACCCAGTGACATCTATAGTTTTAAAATCTACCATTTTCTGATCTCTCTCTCCTTGTTTAATATATAAGCCCTAATTTCTGTGTACGTGAGTAAAACTGCAGCCTGAGTCATTTAGGAAGTAAGCATTGAGTTTTTTAATTATAAATATACTAGAATAAAACAGCACTCCCTAACAATTAAAAAAAAGAAAAGAGTTTTATATTACTTTAGAATGTAATAGGTTTTGTCCTTATTTTATGTCCTGTAAATTATTAGTTGAATACTGTTAGCATTCCCTGATAATGCACACATGATTTCTGAATGTTTTCTGTAAATGACAATCAATGTTTATGAAGTTCCCTCCTTTAATGCTGAAGAAAATTAAAAGAAAAAAAAAAAAGTCTTGCCTACTTGTTTTCTTTTCCCCCACATGGAACGAGGGGATGAAGAAGATTAGATAGCTTGGACTTTGAAATACATTATCCCATGAATCCTTACCTATACAGTTGCCCTTTCCCCAATAAATAATGGGAATTTATTTTTCCTGGAAATTCTTCTGTCCTCGCGAACCTGGCTTGAGTTAGAAATGCTCATTGAGAAAAGAACCAGACTTTATTCTAGCCAAAGAGCTGACCAAGTTTCAATTAAAAGGAGAGCAGCATCTCTCCAAGATAAGCCCTCTCCTTTTCTACAGCTTTCATAAAAGGAAACGCCAGCTAGCAGAGCCATAAGCAACACCGCTACAAAAGCTTTGTTTAAATAAGCTGCAGCAGGTTGGAAATAGGTGTGACAACCCTTCATTGGATGAAAGATCACAAGTGCTAATTAATTATTAAGACTCTAGGTCTGATTTTTTTTTTTTTTTTTTTAACAAAGCATCACCAAGCTGCTCCACCGCCCAAACCAACACTCACCGACATATGCATGCTCTGACTCTTACCTGAAGCTGTTGCAGACTCAGAGTGATGTTGACAAAGGCAGTTCTAGGAGAGACCGGCAATTTTTCAGGTGCTTGGAACTTGTTGCAGGTTGGAGCCCCTAGAGATGAAATGCTTCAAGAACAGAAGTTTAAAGCGAAATTTAACACCTTTTAAACTAGAAGCACTAACCCATATGATAGAATGAAGCTTAGAAACCTTTCTGAAAAGTTTCTCCCAACTTTAGTCCTTGGAAATAGTGAAACCTTCCAGTATATTTCAAGTGACATCTCAAGACGTCCAGACCCCCTGTGA